GCTGCAATACTCCAGTCATTGAGAATAGGTCAATTGAGAAGTATTTTAAGAACATTACTAATGCTTCATAATTATGCTCCTATGTATATTTGCACTAACTAAAGTTAAAAGCTTTTATAATATTTTATAATTGTCATCGGCTGCTGCTTCCAGTGCCTAGCAATATACGCAGTCTTAATTTTGTAGCCTGTTGATATAATTGATTATTTAATATATATCTTATTATTGTACTGGTAACTTATTACTGCTCTAACTATGACCTTTGACACTTCCATTAGGTACATTTTGAACTCATTTTGATAAAATTGAATTTGTTACAAATTTTAAAAGTTACTCAAAAATCATACCAAAGTTCCTGTATAGTACAGCATGTTTGGCCATGTTTTGCCAGAAATGAAATGGTGAAAAATTTCCATTTTTATAATAATTTTTGATGCATATACATGTACTTATGTTGCATAGAAAGTTTGAGCTGATTCCAATAAAAATTGAACTTTTAATGAATTTTAAATGTGCATGCTTCAAATGCAATGTACACTTGTCAGCTCACAGAGCATGCTGTTTAGCTTGCTTAGCATGCTTTGTGGGAAACCCTATTAACACATTTTTATGTTCAAATTTTATGATTATATAATAAGTAGCTAAAATATCAAATTAAATTTATAATTGTTTTAATTCATCAGCATCTTCTTTTAATCCTTCTGCTTCAAGTGCTTCTATTAATCTTCGTTTTGTAGCAGTTCCAGTCCTTATCCAAAGATTAACCATATCCTTTCGGCAGTCTTGTACTTGGTTTTCCACTTGGTAACGACGATTATACTCTATTGTTTCTAGTTCGTGATTTTCTATACCTAACTGTATCCCTATTCTTTTCCATTGAGACACTACCTTCTTAAGAGCTTCAAGAATTAAAGGTTTATGGCTTTCATCTATATAATTATAATAAAAGACAAGTACCATAATACATATGCATTCACTTACTCAGTATTGTAGTTCCTCCTGGTAATTTATCACCATTTGATGTCACTGTAGGAGTAGCCACTGAATCTATCAATGATAAATTATAAAATTTAATTTCTAACACAAGTACACAGCAAGACAACTTCTTTTAGTATTGGAAAACTGCTAGTGCATGCATATTGGATCTTAAGTGTTTGATGTATAATTCATAAACACTACTGAAGTATTAAGACATCAATTAAGTACTATACCTTGCAATTTAGAATTTTTAAACCAACACAAGTAGCGGTCGTCATTAAAAGATTCACAAGAACTATGACCCTTTGCATCAGGGCATTCTATTGGTTCACCCTCTTCATCCACAATACAATTACCATCTTCAAGACAAGCAAATGCAGTGCACAGCTCACCACATGACACATTGATTGCTGCAATGCTCTCCTTGACAGCAACTTTGACCAATTCCAGAAGAGCAGGACAGTATTCTTGAGACCCAATATATGTGATTTCAAGATACTCGTCGCGATTAACGATATACACTTTTTCTTTTCTTGGAGGTGAGAAGGAGACCAATAGCATCACTGCATTACGGTACTGCTGGAATTGGCTACTAAGCTTCACTGTATACCTCTTCTGTTTGAGCAAGTGGACAATCATCAAATGGAAGCTTCCTTGAGGAACACAGACAGTAACTATTGATTTCGATGCGGCAGTATTTTTATTCCACAAAAGACGAAAAGGCTTAATTTTTGATGCAGGAATTTCGAAAGTGCTGGCATCATAGGGCGGTAGAGCGCAAGGAAGAAAATATACTTGCTCCTCTGTTGTTGCATCTATTGGCAATTCGGCAATAATGTGAAGATGGTTTAGCAGATTAATGAAGTATCTTGGCGTAAACTCTCCAGTAAATTTGTCAAACTTTTCTAGGAGAGTCTTTCTGAATTTTCCATAATCAGCAATATCATTTACTTCTTTTGTCGTGACAGACCCAGCAAGCAGTCGTATCAGCCTGTCTTCTTTATATGTGAGGACCAATAGATGTGAAAGGACATCGATAATGACCTGAGGCTTGAGGAATACTAATTTTGGCTCAACCTCAGGGTAGTATAGGATGATAGTGCAATGGTGGAGATATTTTAAAGCTCTTTCAACTTCAATGCCAGTCATCTTAAGCCTCTCGCCTTCTGCAATGGCTTCCTCTTTTGAAACGAATCCTCTCAATTCTGCTTTCTTCTCTAACTGAAGCTCCAGAGCAAACCATCGAATTGGAACTTCAATTGTAAAAGAAACTTCCCCACGTTTTGATATAGCATCTGAGAGCTCCTTACTAGCTTTCTTTCTTTCTGCACCTTTCAGCAGTGTGTTGACTGGGTATATGATGGAATCTTTTTTAATGAAAATAACAGAATCTTTTTTCAAGTCTGGTGGAACTGAAGATGTGAGCTTTTCACTCATTTCTTTTATTTTATGCCTGCGCTCAATTTTGTTTTTGTATTTTTTTTCAAAAACATCAAAATGCGTGCCCAATACGAAAAACATTGAGTGGTTTGGATGATCTGTTAGGCTAACAAGAGGGTTCTGATAAATGGCCCCAGAAGAAACGGCGGACTTAAAAACTTCAAGATTTGTATGAACTGGCTCCTGATCATAGTTAAACGTTTCCCCCTTAATGCGATACTCAATAGTGACTTCATCTTCCAGGTCTTTAGAGATATTCAGAGTGATTACGGTAAGAGATGCTGCTCTTGTAAACAGTGGTAAGAGCTCTTGGAATGCTGGCTGACCACCGGAATCAATGATATACACCCACTCACGGCTTAACTTGGCGGCTTTTGCTTTGGTAATGAGATTAGAAATATTTTCAAGAATGTCAGATTCTTCTAGCGATGCTTTAAACTTCTTTTTTGGTGATTCGGAAGAAGAGTCTTGTCCCGTTTCGCTGCTGTCTTCAATGCCTCTTACATCTTCATTCCTTCTTAGATCACTTATTCCAGTGCTTCCAGTGTCAGCAGTTTCTTCATTTTTACTTATAGCCATGCTCTCCTCATCTGCTGTAGCTCTATACTCTTGTGGTTGCAAAGAATAGTCAACTCCTTCAGTCTCCTTTTCCTGGAGATCTGCTAAAGCCTTTTCCACCTCATTTTTTAAATCGGCTGCTAATTTCAAGAGTAGCTTGTCGCTTTGAACTCTCTGCAAGCCCTCATCATCATCAACTGATATTCTTAAAGCTTTGACAGCTTTACAAGCTATTGGTGTGCTCTCAGTAGTAGGACTAGACTCAGCATTGTGTGCCAAATCCTGGTTGGTTGAAGGGTTGCTAGCTGGTACGTAGTATGGTGGATCTTCATTTAGCAAAAGATGTTGTGCACAGGTTTTACCAGAGCCTGGATGACCCAGCATTTGGACTCGTGTTAGTTTTAGCTCTACAGATCCTTCAATGCACCATTTATCTAAAGAAAAAGACATATACCGTATTACTACTACAACTACAAAAATATCATGTTAAGACTTTAAAGTTTTTTACGTG